TACTAGATCCATAATTGATTCTGATAATAATTGGAGGGTTTAAGACTCCAACGTTCAATATATTAGAAAAAATTACATTCATGCACATCTCTCCATTTTTTGTGTTTCTCTATTTGCAGTGTAACACATTTGCTAATAATGCTCATTTATCCCATCAAAAATGTCACATAAAAATTCAAGTAATTCAGAACTTTGAAGTGGGACTCATTTATGATTCTTAAGTCGCATGACAGAATTTGACTTATAAGGAGGCACATAGTGAAATATATATAAGGGTTAGTGTTAGGATTTAGTTCAGCTATGAATGACACAAACAAAAACAAAAATGATAGTAGGTTACATAATATATGTCTATTTTTCTCTCACATAAAGCCAGAAGTAAAAGGTCCAAGTTGATATGGTGCTTCATTGTGTCAGGAATCTTAGGTTCCTTCTTTCTTGATGCTCTGCCATGCATGATTTTGTTTCCTTCATGATTACCTCATGATCCAAAATGTAACAGCTCTTCCTGTAACAGCTCCGGCCATCACAGGAAGAAGGGAAAGTAAAGGACAAGGAACACAGCTCCTCTCTTTAAAGGACACTTCCTGAAAGTTGCACATAAAATTTCTGCTTCCATTTTTTTGGCCAGAACATAGTCACAGGGCCATACCTCGTCAACAGAAAGGTTGAGAAACGTAGTTATATTCTGGGCAGCTATACCCAACTAAAAATTGGGGATTCTGTAACCATTGAAAGGGGAAGAATGATTATTGAGGGTCAACTAGCATTCTCTGCCACAGGACTGTATGCTTAAGAAATCCTTACGTTGTAAGTAACAAAAACTAAATTCAAATTAGCATAAACAATAAAGGAGATATATTGGCTTATGAAACTGGAAAAACCAGAGGTAGAGACAGCTTTAGAGTTAGTTTTATTCAGGGGATTTTTGATGTCATGATGGACCCAAATTTTTCCATTTTTCTGGTTAGCCTCCTGCTCTCTCAACTTCATTATAAGGTTAGCTTATTTATGGCAAAAAGTCTTTAGAAGTTATAAACTTCACATCCTCACATCATACTGCCCAAAAGGAAAGACAGCATTGTCTTCTGGTAGCTATAGTGACTAACTGTCACAGTTTGCCCAGGACTGTCCTGGGTATAGCATTGAAATTTCTGTTTCCAGGGAAACCTCTCAGTTTCAGGCAAACCAAGATGGGTGGTCGTCCACTTCTAACTCTCTCAGAAGGATTCAGGACCTTCTTTTTCAGAGTCTCCCAGCTAACCTCTCATATCTCATTGACTCAAATTCCTCTTTAGCCAGGACAATACTAGGTACTGATTTCCTTAGGCCTGGCCATTATTGTGACAAGAGGGACAGAATTGCTTGACTGGGTAAACAAATCAGAGCTAATCTCTGGAAATAGGTAGAACTGAGTCTCCTCTACCCCACAATCACACAGCTGCTACACAGCTGGGGAGACATACCCACAATGTCCACAACAAGATTCAACTAATGTAACACTAGAGACACTTAGCATTTATAAGGCTGAACCATCAAATGACACCAAAGGACTTTGTATCCCAAAAGAAAAAATAGAAGTTTTATAGAGGGGAAATTGTTCTCTTATATAAAAGTGTATTAATAGATATTTTTCTGAGATACTATCTCAAGCATAGGCTGGCACAAAACTACACTCTTGTATTCACACAACAATAGCAGTTGTATCCTTTGATATTATTTTCTTCAGTCATATGCTGAGGCTGGAGACAGCAAATAATTTGGTCAAAGTATTTGTGCTGAAGTAAAGTTAAATGTAATTTAAAATAATCCCATCTAAGACTGAGGTCTTTATGTGTAGACCGTATACTATTGACTCACATTTGGTTCCTTTTCTATGGTGCTTCTCCTGCAGGAGGGATTATATATCCCCATCCTGCTGAAATCAGGCAGTCATGTGATTTGCTTTGACCAGTGAAATGTGAGTGAACAGGACATGCGTCAACTTCCAGGAGAAAGTTTTAAGAGCCAGCAGCTTGATATGTTCTTTTCTCTGCCATGATCACCAACAATTTTCCAATGTAGCATGAGTGAGAAACAAATCTGTTGTTTTAAGCTCTGCAATTTTGGAGGACTTTGTTACTGTAGTTACATACTGTGTAGGCTTTGCTGCCTCCAAACTGTCCTTTTTAGCCTCTTCTCTCTCCTGCTTCCCTTCTTTTGTGCTTAGTTTCTCCACTTTTATACCTTTATATTTCACCACAATCCTGCCTTTGAGAATTGAATCAATGAAAAGCAGAGAAACAGTTAACTAGCTTGGAGCCTTGAAGGATTTTTCTCTTGTCCTACAAAGACCAGGTAGCTTCTAAGAGAATCTTGGGCTTACTATCTCCTAGAATGAAAACTAGAAACCTGAGAATTAAACATTTCATATAATGCTTACATTTAACAAGATTTTAATTGACTTTAAATACTTAATATAAATTTATAAATGTAATTTAAAAATTATAAACATAAATTTAAAGCAATTTAAAGTATATATTATAACCCCAAGAATTGCATTCTATTCTCTATACCAATAATACTAATATAAGTTTGAAATGAAGGCTTTAAAATTTTTTTAACACTCTGGTTACTTAAAGAAAGAGAATGTCAACAAATAAACTTCTTTCAATTCTCTTTCAAGCTGTCAAGGACAATAATTTCAATGGATCTCATACCACTTTATGCGTTTATTTAAAGTAAACATTCCTGTGTACCTCCTCTAGAGATTCTGATTCAGTAGGTATTTGGGACATCACTATTAAATGACTGAATCACTAGTATAACTGGAACAGAGATGTCTAGTCCTCAACCCTCAAATTGTATTTCTCTCTTTCAAGTACTAGTCAGGAAATTTTGGAAAGCCTGATGCTCTGGACTGAATATCCACCCCCACCCTTCCCTCCGAAATTTATATGTCGAAGCCCTAATCCCCAACGTGATGGTGTTTGGAGGTGGGCCTTTAGGAGGTAATTAGGTTTAGATGAGATCATCAGGGTAGAGCCCCCATGATGAGATTAGTGCTCTTGTAAGAAGAGGAAGAGAGAGAGATCTTTCTCACCATGTGAAGACACAGTGGAAAGGCTGCTGTTTGCAAAGCAGAAAGAGGGCTCTCCAGACACTGAATCTGCCAACACCTTGATGTTGGAATTCTTAGCCTCCAGAACTGTGAGAAATAAATGTTTGTTGTGTAAGCCACCATGTCTGCAGTATTTTTTACAGCAGCCAATCTGACTAAGACAACTGCTTACTCATAACTCTTAGACTCACAGCCAAAGAAAGTGGCTGAGCTATTCCTGGAGTACCCACGTTCTATTCCATATTTCTTCTTCCATTCTGTACTGGACCAAGGGCAGCTAAGCTACCCAAATAGGATTTGGCAAATGGTGACTAAGACAATAGGATTCTTTCTTTCGGCAATCGGAACTGAGAAATATGAAGAAGTTTTACTTGTTAGTAAGAGAAGGGGAAAATGCCCCAAAGGGAAGTAGAGATCAGAGAATAGCTGAATCAGGTTAAAGGTGGCATACCACACTAGTCTCCAGACCCTGCAGCTGACAGATAAACAAAATAACCTGGTTTTAGAGATGGATCCTATGACTTCTGTCTCCACAAGACTTGGTTGTGCTTTGATTCCTGTTCTAGGATTTCTGTGGGATTCTTATCTCCGTTATTGTCTCCTGCAGCCTTGTAATAAATCTCCATTACTTGAGACAGCCTGAACAAGTCTCTATTGCTAACACACACATACTGTCATTCATTAGGTCTTCCACCTGTAAACATTTATGTTATTGTAAACCTACAGTGTTTCTCAAAGTGTTGTTGTGTGTACCACCTACCTCAAAATGATACAGATTATTAATAATTTAGATTCCCAGTTACCCCTTTAAAATTATTTGATACAGGGGTAGAGCACAGAAATATGCATTTTTTTTAAGTTAGTAGACTTTATTTTTTAGAACAGTTTTAGAATTACAGAAAAATTGAGCTGATAGTACAGATAGTTCCCATATCGTTCCCTTCCCCCTACAAAGTTTCCCTTATTATTAACATCTTACATTAGTATGGAACATTCATTACAATTAATGAACCAATATTGATACATTATTATTAACAAAGTCCATAGTTTATTCAGATTTCCTTAGTTTTTACCTAATGTCTTTTTATGTGCTAGGACCCCACCCAGGGTGCCATGTTACTTTTAGATGATGTCATATTAGGCTCCTCTTGGCTGTAACATTTTCTGCCTTTCCTTGTTTTTGGTGACCTTGACAGTGTTGAGGAATACTGGTCAGGTATATTGTATCATTCCCCTTTACTGGAATTTGTCTTACTTTTTCTCATGATTAGACTGAGGTTATGAGTTTAGGGGAAGAAGTTCACAGAAGTAAAGTGAGAATAAGCATTTTTAACAGGCACTCAGGTGATTTTTGTATATACACTGCAGTTAGAGGCCCTGCTGTCTAGTAGTTGTGACTTTGGGTGCAGCTTTGAGTATTATACTACTATACTGATATTTTCAAGGACAGAAACCATGTCTTACTCATCTTTGAATTTGTAGGGTTTAGCATAGGGCTTATCACATAGCATATATTACAAATATGTTACTCATACTTGTTATAATTACACAATTCTGTTCACATCAGAAAAAGTAAATATAAGCAAAAAAAAGACTTGTTTCTCTGAAAATAAAAATGAAGGTGAATCAGCAAAAATAACTGGTATGGACTGAATATGTCCCCCCAAATTCATACGCTGAAGCCCCAACCACCAATGTGACTGTTCAGAGACAGGGCTTTTATGTAGATAATTAAGGTTAAATGAGGTCGTAAGGGTGGGGCCCCTGATCCAATATGATTAGTGTTCTTATAAGAGACACCAGAGAACTCACTCTTTTCCCTCCCCACACCACACCATGTGAGGACATGGCCAAAAGGTGGCCATCTGTATACCAGGAAGAATTCTCACTAGAAACTTACCATGCTGGCTCCCTGATCACGGACTTACAGCCTCCAAAACTGTGAGAAAATAAATTTGTGTTAAGCCACCCTGTCTGTAGTATCGTTTTATGGCAGCCCAAGCAAACTAATATAGATTTTGGTACCAGGGAGTGGAATGCTGCTGTTGTAACAAATACCTAAAAATGTAGAAGTGGCTTTGGAACTGGGTTATAGGCAGAGGCCGGAAGCGTTTTGAGGTACACATCACAAAAAGTCTAGATTGCCCTGATGGGACAGTTGCTAGAAATATGGATGTTAAAGGTGATTATGGTGAGAGCTCGAAATGAAAAAAGAAGATTTGGAGAAAAAGCCTTCATCTTCTTAGAGAATATACAAATAGTCATGAAGAGAATGTTAGTAGAAATATGAACATTAAAGACCATTCTGGTGAGGTCTCAGACAGAAGTGAAGAACAGGTTACTGGAAAATAGAGAAAAGTCAGTCCCTGTTATACGTGGCAAAGAACGTGGCTGAATTGTGTTCTAGTGTTTTGTGGAAGATAGAACCTGTGGAGAATAAAATTGGATATTTAGTGAAGGAGATTTCTAAGCAAAATGTTGAAGGTGTGGCCTGGGTCCTCCTGACTACTAATCGTGAAATGTGAGAGGGGAGAGATGAATTGAAGAAGGAACAATTAAACAAAAAGGAACTGGAGCTTAAAGATTTGGACAATTCTCAGCCTAACAATATCGTAAAATATGAGAAAGCTTGTTCTGAAGAGACCACTAGGGGTGTGGCTGAACAACCATTTGGTAAAGAGATTAATATGGCTTTGAACCATGAATTTAATCAGCCACCCCAGCAGAAACCAGGAATAGAGATGAGATTATACCAGCAGCACACTGCCAGTTTGAACTAATGGGGACACAGAAAAAAGGACAAAATGAAGGAAAAGCTCCTGGACTTCTTGGATTCTACAGAACTGGATGATAGAGCTATTCTGCTATGAACATGCTTTATGCTTCAAGAAAAGGGAAGAATGACCTTGAAGGTGGTTCAGAGATCATCATCAGGGCTACCACTCCCACCACAGACCCAGGGTGCAAGGTTGCTTCCTTGGTTTCAGAGGGTGGGGTCCTTGCAGAGCATTGGATCAAAGAGGATTATTCTCAAGCCTTAAGATCTAACAGAATTACATAAGACAAATAAGTCCTGGGGATGTAATGTACAGCATGGTGTATTGTATTGAACATTTGAAAGTGCTAAGAGAGTAGATCTTAAAAGTTCTCATCACATGGAAAAAAAAATTTCTAACTGTGTGTGGTGATGGATGTTAACTAAATTTATTGTGGTAATCATCTCACAATATACACATATATCAAATCATTATGTCATACACCTAAAACCAATACAATGTTATATGTCAATTATATCTCAGCTAAAAAAATTTTTTTTTAAATTTTTAACAAAAGATCTAGGGGCCATCCCAGTGGCGCAGTGGTTAAGTTTGGCGAGCTCTGCTTTAGCTGCCCAGATTTGTGGGTTTGGATCCCAGGTGCGGACCTATACCACTCGTCAAGCCATGCTGTGAAGGTGACCCACGTACAAAATACAGGAAGATGGGCACAGATGTTAGCTCAGGGCCACTTTCCTCACGAAAAAAAAAAAAAAGATCCAATGAAATTTGCCTTGCTAGGTTTTAGACTTGCTTGGGACTTGTCACTCCCCTTTCTTCTTTCCTATTTCTCCCTTTTGGAATGGGAATGTCTACCTTATGCCTGTCCCCCTATTGTATTTTGGAAGCACATAACTTGCCTGGTTTCACAGGTTCACAGCAGGAAACGGAGAGGAATCCTGCCTCCAGATGAATTGTACCTTGAGTCTCACCTGTATCTGATTTAGATGATATTTAGATGAGACTAGACTTTAGAGTTAATGCTGGAACAAGTTAAGACTTTTGGGGTTGTTGGGATGGAATGAATGAATTCTGCATTCAAGAAAGACATGAATTTGGGGGGCCACAGGCAGACTGATACAATAACTATTAAATTAGGTTAGGGCAAGAGAAGACTAAAAGATGAGAGGAAAAAAACTGTAGAAATCTAGAATTCTGTACTCAGATTGCTCAGTGAGTATCTTTAAATTCTTACCCCACACGAAAGAAATTCAAACTTGCAACAACAGACAATACATTATGGGTATGGTTCATGGAGGTACACTGATGAACTCCAATCAGAAACCAAATTCAAAAGTCTTGGCCCTACATCAAAGCATCAGTAGGTAAATATTCATATGTTTTTACATTAAAATAAAATGTTTAAGTATCAATTAGGAATTGCAACTGACTGCTAGTATCCAAGATCCATACTTATTGTGTAATAAGTCACACAAGGGCTTATTTTTTCACTGAAAAGAAGGCTGGAGATAGGCAGCAAAGTTATCAGCAATCAGGCTCCTTCTATGCCACTTCTAGTGGCATATAAGATGGCTGCCAGAGCTGTAGCCATCATAAATGAATTCTAGACAGGAAGCAAGAGGAAAGAGAGAAGAACAAGGTCTTTCCCACAAGTCGCACTCAACAGAGTCCACTTGTATCTCACTGACCAGCTCTAACTGCAAAGGAGGCTGAGAAGTATCTTTTGGTTAGTACACTGCCTATGTAGAATAAAATCTCAGTTTTATTAGTAAGGATGAAAGGAAAAATGAAAATTATTTAGGCCACTAACAGACACTGCCAGTGTACATAATTTTGTCATGACTCCCCACTTAGTGACTTAAAATTAATTAACCAATTAATCAGTCCTAATGGCATTGGCTAGGAGAGCGTCTACTCTACAGCCTAGTCAAGTGGCTGTAGACAACAAGTACTAGAAAACTGATTGGATTTTTTTTTTTTACTCATGTGGCCTCCAGAAGTTATAGACTCAGTGAAAATCTGAAAATATGAGACTTGAAGGTTGGTCAGAGTTTAATGCTACAGATGTAGATTTGAGAGTGAGTCCTAACCTGTGACACGACAGCCTGTTGGATGAATTCATACAAAGGTAGAAAGAAAAAGAAAGTCTAGGACAACAGCTCAGATAATCATAGTTAAAAAGAAGAAGAGTGAAGAAAGTAAAGGAAAAGGATAGAAAATTATATCATGAAGATGAAGGGTGAAAAAAGTGGGTGAACAGCATCAAATGAGATAAAAAGGTGAATGAGGACTAATTAACCCTTTGAATTTAATGGGACTTATTGGAAATAGTCAAAGGAATAGTTTCAGATCTTAATATTTACATTGGAGGCTTTCCTCAAATGTCTGGCAATCCTTGGCTTTCCATTCATATTTAAAGGGTAAGTTGATTGCACTGTTTGTGTGGGCAGTTTATTAACTAAAGGACTTGACTGTAAAACTGAGGGAGGGGGGCAGGGACCTGGCCATTTTATTGAGGGTACTCCCAAAATGTCACCTTGAGATATTTCTTCTGAGACCTTTTGATGTATCTAGAGAAGAAACTCCTGTGTGGGGTGTACACACATGGCTACCAGTGTTCTGAGAGCCAACAGTGGAAAGGGCTGGGGTGGGTCTCACTATTCAGTATATAGACTTCTATTTCATCTGATTTTTGCTTGACCTAGTGTCCCTGAATCTGAGGGCCCTCTGGTTCAAACTCTACACTAGCTAAGCCTTCTATTTCACAGAAGGGACTAGTGGTGAGCTAGTCCTTGGCTACTTGTCCTAAGGATAGCGACCTAGACCTAGAAGTCTAACTACTCTGTACAAATTTTCCATCATTCTTCTAGTCTTTCCTTCCACACCCTCCCATTGATGTGGTATCTCCAATTTATGAGCTTGTGGTATAATAATACATATATTTGGTCTTTGTCCCCAACTTCTGACACAGAGCTCCTAAAACCTTTCGAATTTTCTGAGTGATAGCAGTATCTTGTTATTCGGAAGGGCATGTGGAAGTGCTGGGAGGGAGAGGGGTTGGAAGCTCTGAGACCCTTCCCCTCAACCTTGCCCTAGGCATCTCTTCATGTGGCTGTTACTGAGTTGTATCTTTTTATAATAAACTGGTAATCTAGTAAGTAAAACGTTTCTGAGTTCTGTGAGCCATTCTAGCAAATTATTAAACCTGAAGAGGGTATCATGGGAACCCCAATTTATAGCTGGTTGGTCAGAAGTACAGGTGATCCTTTGGACTTGCAATTGGCATCTGAAGCAGGGGTAGTCTTGAGGGCTGAGTCAGGGTTTTCCAGAGAAACAGAACCAACAGGACAGATGTGATAGATACAGATATATAGATATAGATATAGATATACAGAGATATCTAGAAATATATAGAGATATATAGATATGAGGAGGTTTACTATAGGAATTGGCTCACAGTTATGGAGGCCAAGAAGTCCCACACTCTGCTGTCTGCAAGCTGGAGAACCAGGAAAGCTGGGGGTATAATTCAGTTTGTGTTTGAAGGCCTGAGAACCAGGGGAGTTGATGGCATTATTCCCAGAATCCAAAGGCCCAAGAACCAGGAGCACCAATGTCCGAGGGCAGAAGACGAAGGGCAGAAGATGGACGTCCCGAGTCAAGAAGAGAGATTTTGCCCTTCCTCTGCCTTTTTGTTCCATTTGGGCCCCCAAGGACTGGATGATGCCCGCTCACATTGGTGAGGGCGAATCTCTTCTATCAGCCTACTGAATCAAATACCAATCTCTTCTAGAGTCACCCTCACAGACACATCCAAAAGTAACGTTTTAACAGCTACCTGGACATCCCTTAGGTGAGTCAAGCTGACATATAAAATGAACCATCACAGTCCTTAACCTCCAGGATCTGATGCTATCTCCAGGTAGTGTCAGAATTGAGTTCAATTTGTAGGACACCCAGTCAGCGTCTGCTGAGAACTGGAGAATTGTTTGGTGTGGGATAAACCCCCACGTATCTGGTGTCAAAAGTATTGCGAGTAGAGGAGAAAAATAGAATTTTCCCTTACAGAGCCTTTCTAGAGTCCTGAAAGACGAATTACTTTACTTCTAACTGGCATTCCCCTCTGCACTCAGCTTTCCCAGCTCCAATAGTTTCTTCATCA